GGTTCTAAAATATGGACATGCAGAATAAGGCATTAATATGTGTTTTATAAGTACTAATAAACAGCCAATATGCTAGTAATATGCATGGTAATAAGCAACTAGTTAATAGTGAGAATCACGCCCTAACACGCCACCACATATCTTCGTCACAATGTGGGAAGATTTGCATAACGTCGCCCAAATGTTCACGCAAAGAAAGAAGGCGTAACTTTGTAGCATTTGGACCAATCAGACACACAACTTTTTGTTATATTTAACAAATAATATCTAACTCCCCCTCACTGGCGGTTAATTATTCATATTTCCCCATGAGCTGATTCGCTACACTTTTATTCTCGCTGTAGTATTGTTGTTGCTGCCGCCATATAGTGAAGGCGCTGTGTGTTTCATTGTGAAAGCGAAACTACTTTGTTTGGTCTTCCAAAAGAGGACGATATCTGCTTCGTCATGCCTGGAGCTGATTCGTGCTGGTTGCTGAGGAAATACTACAACTTTGCGCTGTGGATCGCCGGATCGGCTTTCACCGTGGACGAAGTGGAGTCCAGCCCGGGGTCGTCATATGTGGTTGCCGCAAGCCTACTTCGTCGAATTTACCGGACGTGCCGTTCTCAAGCCCACCCACCTCTGCTCACTCTAGCCCCCGGCCTCTGCTCACTCTAGGCTGTTCTCTGGGACCCTCTCAAGCGGAGGAATTCTACATTCCGATTGGTTGCCGCCCAACAGCGTCATAGTTCATTACCATAAAGTTAAACTGTTTTCAACTCTCCTTGACGCCCTCGCCGGCCAAGACGCGCCGCGCCGCTCCTCGCCGCGCCGCTCCTCGCCGCCTTTCGCCGCCCGCTCACATTGAAAATGAATGTCTTCCGGTCACTTTGACGCTCTCGCCGCCGGCGGTGTGAACGCACAGTAAGTCATTATAATCTGTCATTATGTCCGCACTGGATGCAACGAATGCCTCGTTTATAATGGGTTTTAATGTTTTTGAATCATGGCTCCAGCCTGACAGGGCATCATCACAATATAGTAGGGGCGTAACATTTCCGTCACACGCTTGAGGTATTCGGCCAATCATAACGCACCAATCATAACGCGTTTCAGAAAGGCGGGGCATAGAGGAGAAACAATAATGCACAGTACACTCTTAAAAATAAAGGTGCTTCACGATGCCATAGAAGAACCTTTTTGTCTAAATGGTTCCAGAAATAACCTTTAACATCTGAAGAACCTTTCTTAAAAGGTTCTTTGTGGCGAAAGAAGGTTCTTCAGATTATAAATAAGTTAAGAAAGAGATGGTTCTTTAAAGAACCTTTGACTGAATGGTTCTTTGTGGAACCAAAAATGGTTCTTCTATGGCATCGTGAAGCACCTTTATTTTTAAGAGTGTATGTGGAAAATAATGTGTTTTTTTAACCTTAAACTGCATAAACACATTTCATTACACCAAATACACAAAATAACGTTCTTTTTAGCAATATCATATGACCCCTTTAATTTGTTTTAATAATCACATTTTAAAACCGCAAAAAAAAACTCTCTGATGTGCCAAGCCATCAGAACCGAACCGAAAACCGTGGTTAAAAAAACCGAGGTATTGAACCTTGCCAAGCTAACTTTATTGTTGCACCCCTAGTCACCACTCACTTAAAATGTATGCAATAGATCTGACTGGACATTCTGCGTCTTATGCGGTCTGATAGGAGAAATTAAGTCGTATGGTTTGGAATGACATGAAAGTGAGTAAATGATGATGTTTTTTTCTGGTTTTTTTGCAGGGTGAACTATTCTTCTGAGGAACCTTTTGTTTTTAAAGTGAATGTACGACACTGCAGACAGTGAACATCAGCCAACCAGTGAACTTAGACCCACTTTATACTATGTTTTCTCCTGCTCTCACTGTCTTTAACTGATTTCTGTGTAACTAAAGATTTGAAGCTGAGGGATTTGGAGGAGGGGGGCAAAAGAGAGGGAATGAATTAAAGATATCATTGAAAAGGTAGACGGGCGCAGTGTGCATAATATAATACCATCTAAATGAGGCTTAATATAAATAGAGGACCAGGCAAAGAGCGGCAGTACAAAAGAGACTCCTAAATAAATCAGCGAGGTATTTTCAGAGTGTTGGTGGTGATGAATCCACCAATGAGCCGCGTGTTTTATTTCAAGTGTGGTAATGAGAAGAGTCTGTGTTTGGTCTCTTTTTCATCACCGACGTCACCAAAAGCAAGTCTCGCAGGTCACACACACTCGCAATTGCGCATTTCATGAGACAGACAGATGTTCTCGAGAGCAATTGAGTGGAGATGCATATCAGAACAGAGGAAGAGTGTATGAACATATAAAGAGGAAGTCGTAACGAATCCAATCTAATGGAATCTTGAGGAGCTTAGGATGAGTCATGAAACATTCACATATACAAAAACAGAGCAGCACATTCAAATATATTCTGAGATTCAACACACACACACACACACACACACACATGTGCCCAGCACATACAGCAAACCATTGGTACCGAACTGTACCAATGATTAGTGGTGAAATTGTTTCTTCTTTCTTTCTGCTTCTTGAATAGAAAGCGATTGAGTGCGAGCCACAGAGCCTGCGGAGTTCACAGAGCACGCAGCCCTCTGTCTCATAGATGGAGCACAAACATTCTTTTAATTAACTCCATTAATTGCTATTATTGTTCTGAACATTAGCAAGTAGAGAAGAGCAACTTAAAGCCAATTCATTGAAAACAACGACACATCTCTCTCACACAATCAAGTCAATGCAGGTGAAGTGAAGCAGAGGCATGTGTATCACTACTGACCTCTGCTGGTCAAAAGTGGAAACTATCATTAATTTTACAAATTTAAATCAATTTAAACATAAATATTTTTTACACTGCAAGCGAAATTCAAAAAAGATCATTAAAAATAGAAATGGTAAAAAGTTACAGACCTAATATACAAATTCCTTTTATATTCATATACATTTTGAGCCAAAAGTATCGGTCAGATACATGAATCACATGAGTATTTTTATCAATTTTTGTTTAGATATTTGTTTTTGAAAATTTTTTGTAGCATGAAGCATTGACAATTAACTCAACTAAATTCTTAATACTAAATGAAAAACTAAATAAAAATATTATTCAATGTTTTCAATTATTACAGTTATTTATTAAATGTATTTATAAAAAAATTTAATTATGGCGCATTGATAATTAACTCAACTAAATTCTTAATACTAAATGAAAAACGGGAAAAAAAACATTGTGGCATATTTAAAAAATAAATATGATTTCTTGATAAAAATCTTGATAAAAATTTGTGCTGCGATTACGTTTCACAATTTATGACAAAACAGCAAAACACAAATATTAAGAATTAGCTCTCTGGCTAAACAGAAAGCATTAAAATGTAATATATAATTAAATAACGGTAATGTTGACTCTAAAGGTGTGTGCTAACCTAATGCTAACATTATGTTTGTTGTGGCACAACTGTTAGGAGACACGAAGCCTATTGTGTGTGCTGTTCACATGTATTGCCTATGCCACTTGGATCCAGTCTCAGGTAGCCGTCCTCCAGTGAGCTGAACCCAGTTAAGCCTCCCATAGCCACATAAGGAACAGCTCTGCCCACCGGATGACCCCGTGCCATGGGCTCTTCCCTGGTTTCAACCAGCATCACATGGGCATATCCAGGCTGACCACATCCGCAGGTAAATGGACTTTGATAGCCAGTGCAGTGAGTGCCTGGAAGTAAACAAGTTTTTATGTTTTATTAAATGCTTATGTGTAACATGATGAATTATGTAAGCTTTCAATTAATAATAGGGGATGCAATGGTGCAAAACTCACATTTCTTGCACTGGTGCCCTATAGTTTCACTGTGCTCAGTGGTTGTGTGTTTGCATTGGCAGCGTACTGCCTTAGAACCATTGATATGAACGTATTTATAAGATACACATTGACAACCTACAAGAGTGTAGGCCTTTCCTTTGGCAACACCTCAAAGTCTGTGCAATGTTGTTTATACCTGAGAACGAAATAGAATTATTGAAGAATCAGTTTGTGTACGTGTGTATACATCAATAATGTATATTACTGGTGATCTATACCTGTGTGTACAGAAGCAAGGTGTCTCTGGTCCAATGAGTTTGCAGTCTATCTGTCCCAGGACGCCAAAACTGACATAAAGCCGGTTCTGTATTCTTCTTGGCACCACTGTCTCTTTGTATTTCTTGTACTCTTCCTCTGAAAACAGCCTCCCTCCATCATCTTCCCCAACAATCCTTTGCAAAAAAGGATATTCAGTGATAGAGAATTACACGTTTTCAAACATGCCAAGCTTCAGCTACAATGGATGTACAAAAAAAAATAAAGAAATATTTTTTTTTTTGCATTGACCACGTGAATAGACGTTAGTAACATCGATATCCCCAAACAAACCCACCTTCTATATTCTAAATAGACCTCCAATGCAGTGGTTGTGTGTTTGTCGACAAATATCTTTTCCATTCCACTTGTGATTGTGACTCTTTTTTCGTAGTTTTGTCTGTTAATATAAACAAGTTTGTAATGAAGGTTGCTCTTGACGTCTGTGTTTCTAGGCAACGACGAAACAACAGTGATCAGTTTTCCCTAAATGTAAAAATCCAATCAGTAATATCTAATACACACTCACAACCATTTTAATGTATCTCGACTACGTTTGTACCTGTGAACTACATTTCCCATGCTGCCTATGGACTTTTACGTGAGTGCCGTGAGTCAGACTCATATCAGAGAATCGTTTCCTTCAAACAGTTCTTTTCTAAAAAAGATTCAGTGATTCTTATTTTATGACGTAGTTTGCTCGGTCGCACTGTCATAATTCATATATTTAGGGGAAAAATTATATACTATAAAACATTCCAGAAAATACGCAGGCCCATACAATTGTCTTCATTGAAAAGATTCGACCCAAAAGAACAATTCATTCACAACCGGACACCGCTGGTGCGTGTCGTGACGTCGTACGCAATAGCTCGTGTGGTCACCACAGGGAAATACTACTGAACAATTTTCTGTATTAGTTCCTAGTTTCACCACACCAGGTGGCTCCGAATGATAATCTGGCATTTATTTTAAGGCGTTACCTCTAAAATAATTAGCTTCTTACTTAATACAGAGACGCTTGCTTTGAAGTTATGCTGCAGTTTGAATATTGTTTTAATATTACTGATTTTTTAAGATAGCAAACGTGCTAAGAAGATGTCAACAATGTGGAGTCTACAAATCTGTCATCTTGACCAAAGTATTTAAGGTAATTTCTATATTAGCAATGTTACCGTAGCAGTTTCATCAGGCTGTTCAATAACGTTACCTTTCAAACTCGGCCCTGTCTTAAAGAGAGATAGGTGTGCAGTCGTACAGTTGATTTCGTTGAGCTGCTTAATATCAGTCTGCAGACCTTGAGAACCGAGTAAAAAAGATCAAACAAGCATGTGTAGACGCATGATATGAGTTCAGCCAGAATGCTGAAAGCTGTTTGGTTTTATATATATTTGCTTATACTGCATGCCTAATATCAGGTCCTGTTTTTCTGTTAATGCTAACCTTTTCTCCAAGACAGTATCATTACAGCAGCTTTATGATGGCATCAACAGTAAAACTGAGTCAACTCTCTAACATTGTTTAACTAATAATCACGATCTTTTCAGCAAAGACATGATATGTCTGACCTCAGAGCTTTAACCCAGATCTGTGCTGTGATTCCCATCTTAAATTTCATGTGACTATACTTTGACAGCTTTTCAGCTGAAAACAATAGTTTGACAGGGTGGAGCACACAGTGTAAATCCCTTGTACTTTGGTCAGTCTTTGATAATAACAGTCACAAGATTGATTTCATCTTGACTAATATTATCAATATGCATATTACATTTTAACTTCACTAATATTGTTTTGCTGTTTCTGTGGGGATGTGATGATTGGTCATATTTGGTCATAAGTGGTCATTTCTCCCTCCTGCATTATTAATTTATCTAAAGCACCGTCTCATTGAGTGATTTGTGATTGGTTGGAGAATAGCACTATGACCACTGAGAAAAAGAGTGATGACACGGCTTCTATTCACTTAACAATGGAAATGTAATTTATTCATACAAACTGAAATCTTAGACTTTGCATATTAACTGCAACTACAACTATTTAATATGATTAATCTCACAAATTTCTGCTTGTGTGTTGTATTTTACAGGTACATCTTGCACCTGACGCCAATTCAGCAATAGACAATTGCTTCCATGCTGTTAATTTCCTAGTCAAAACGGCTAAACAAATGCATCAGTGACCTTATTACAGAATCTTCTGCCCATTCCTAATTTTAACCTCCACTCTGCTTTTTCATGACTTAATTATTCCCAGCCCTGAACCTGACACCCTCTTATAAACCTGTCCCCACCCCATCCCCTTAACCCGGGTCCCATCAGACCTGCAGCATTGCCATGCTGGGCTGTCTGCTGCGTAGGAGCATGTCTCACAGACTGAGTGTGTTTCTGGTGGTCTTCGGCCTGGCCTGGTGTCTGCTGCTGCTTCACTACACCATCACACAACCACAGCGCCAGAGCAGCGCAGAGCTCCGCCAACAGATCCTCGAGCTCAGCCATCGCTATGTCAAAGTGCTTAGCGAGGAGAACCAGAACCCTTCAGGGCCCCATGGCACCTCCATGGCAGGATATGGTAAGAATTTATTATTCTATTCATTATTTAACCACCCTCCCGTCGTTCCTAACTTGTCTGCTGTTTTATAATGCTAAAAGGCATAACAAATGTATCATAAAAATAGTCCATATGACTTTCACAAAAGTCAAACAATAATTTTGTGTGATGAAATGACCGAAATTGATGTCTATAGCAAAGGTTATCATGTGTATTTTAACCAAACAAAATTGTGCAGTTTTAACTTGTTACCTGAGCTTATAAATTTCTTTACATTTTACAACAAGTTTCAATACATTTACATTAGTTAGTGCAATAGTTGTCGTGAACAATGAAAAATATTTTTATTGTAGCATTTACAAATGTTAATGTTTTTTTGTTCATAAAACATTAACTAATGTTAATTTTCACAACTTAAAATGTTAAATGTGTATTAGTATATGTAAAACTTAACGAACATGAGTGAAATTAAAAATTAACTTTATTGTTGATTGTTAGTTCATGATATCTAATGCATTAACCAATATTAAGAAGTTAACCTTATTGTAAAGTGCTGAAATGTTTCTTCTCTGGTAACACTTTACAATAAGGTCTTATTTGTTAACAGTAGTTAATGTGTTAACTAACGTGAACTAAGAATTAAAACATTTACAACATTTATTAATCTTGTTTTCATTTATTAACGTTTGTAATTTAAAATACAATTTTAATGTTAATGTAATGAACAACTAACATTAACAAAGATTAATACATTTGAAAAAAAGCTCTTAAATGAAAAAAAAATGTTTAGTAACTAACACTTACAAATGTTATAAAAAAAATATATTGCTCATTGTTAGTTCACATTATATTTGTGCTGTGAACAAATATAATGAACTCCAGTGTTTATACCACTTTTGATTTTAAAAATTAACAAAAAAATAATGAGGGCTGTAGAAATACTGTTTTATTTTGTTAACTTTGTAGTTGTCAAATATTTACAAATGAAACCCTATTGTAAAGTGTTATCTAAATTATTTTACATTCTTTTATAAAATATAAACATATATTTTTTTTTGTGAAGTGTATGTTAATGAATGGCCTGCTTAGCATTCAGGGTGGGTGTGGTAGAAAGAGGTTTAGAAATAACATAATACTAATCCTTGCCTTATCTCTTGTTCTGCTGAAGCTGACTTGAAGAGGACAATTGCTGTGCTGTTAGATGATATTCTCAGCCGTTTGGTGAAAGTGGAGACTGCTGTGAATGCCTCCATACAGAACATCTCCCATCCTGCTGCTGGTGCCGGCACTCTCCTTGCTGGCAGAGTCACTGTTTCCAGGTCCACCAAACTAAATTTGTCTGCCCACCGGCCAGAGAGACGTAGTAACCCTCTGCACTTCCTGTCACAATCACCTGACAGGTCACATAAGCCGCACTCTTTGAAATAGCAGACTGTGGCTATGGACATCTTCTGCATCACTACAGCAAAGACTGAGATACAGATATATATTTATACATTTTTCCAGCTTTTAGACATTGTGCACATGAGCTTCAGCTTGATTGTTTTGTCTTATATTCATGGATCACAAGTATATTTTATAACTTATGTGCAATATGGAATATAAGATGAGAGAGTGATAGGATGCGATTTTTTTTTTATACGGATGAGTGTTTCATAATGTATCTGCAAAAGACCATGTACAGCATTATCTCCACAGCTAGCTAACGGTGTGTAGTGCACGTAGATGGATTCCAGAGCGAAGGTTTACACATAGCACCTTTTAATTGTTAAGACTTCATGCGTTGCTATGCATTAGCTATTGAACTGTGGAGGAAATGAGCTGATCCAAAGAATTCTCTCAGTCAGTAGTTGATTGATGTCTCTATAGCAGGTTGATTTGTTTAAGGGGTGGGGATATACCTCAGTTGCTGTTAGTACATGGAGCTGAATCCCAGCAAAACTGAATGCAGCATTAAACTTTCAGGAGGAACTGTACCAGACAAACTCGATCCATACAATAAAACATGTACCGGACTTCAGATGTGTCAGTGTATGCAAGTGCTGAAAACATTAATTATCATCTATCTATCTACCCAGCTATCTATCAATACACTTTATTTTGGATATGTTGATTTTATAATCTATCATTTATAATCATATAATTTGCAAGTGTATACTTGAACACAAAGCCTTCTCTGTCTATCTATAGTATCTATCAATAAACTTTTTTTTATTTTGGATATGTTGATTTATAATCTATAAATTGTAATGATAATTTGCTAGTGTATACTTACAAAACCTTCTCTATCTGTTTTTTTTTTCTAATTGTCTGTCTAAGGCTCAACAAATACGTCACATCCTCTCCACATGTTGAAGAGGATGTGACGTATTTGTTGAGCCTCCACCCATAGTTCACCGCGCGCTTCAGCTGGTCAGCCATTTTCTGCAGTTACGTTAAGAGCGGAAGTCGTCGAGGAAGAACATCTTCATTTTCACGCTTTTGTCAATCATTAATACTTTAAAAATGAGTGATGTCGAGGAGCCACAATTCGAAGCAAGGGTAAGCATTATATTTGTGTAAACCGTTCTGGCGTTTACCTCAAATATTCTCTCTTTCTCTTTGCGGTAATGCTCGATTAGTGAACAGCTAACGTTAACTGCCTCTTTCTTTTGTTTGTTTACAATTTAACTGAGTAGATAGATCAGCTGATACATACTTAACGCTTAATAACTCGTTAAACATTTAATATTTAGTCACTTTAGATGTTTAGATTAGTCCATTACGATGTTGAATGTCAAATAAATGTAATTAATTTACGCTGCTGGGTTGGATATGGTAAGGATTTTCAGCAGCGTGTATTTTTATATAACGTTTTTAGTTGTTGTTTTTTTTTACCTGCAGATATTGATTAGGAAATTACTTTACAAGTGTTTTAATGTGTTTAAACAAGAGTTGGCATTCACACAATAGCAGCCTGAGTACTTTTGGTTTCTCTTTCCAACATTTCTGATCTTTCCTTGCCCTCTCTCTCTTATACCATATGATTATGTAACCAAACAAGCATCTATATTTCAAAAGGAGTAGTGGAATTTGAATGGTTCACTTCATTTTTTTCCCCTAAATTTCCCTTGATCTTAATTGCTCTGAATGTTCTTTTTTCATTAAGGTTATTGGTCGTGAAGGATTTGAAGAGTTAAGGCCAAGAATGTGGAAGAATATTCAAGATAAAAGAAGGCATTTACAGAGAAAATGTGTACAGAGCAGACGGTTAAGTGGGAAGGGGAGAAAAGAACGGAAGATCGGTCAGATAGAAGCACGCTCGCGTTATGTGTCTAAAGCAGAAAAAGAAAAGGTTTCAGATTGGGGTGAAGAAATGAAAAGGAGAGAGAAATGAAAACTGAACAAATGAAGACCGAAGAATAAAATGCCTGAGAGAGAGGAATAGCGTATACTGAAAACAGAAGAATGAATGAGTCCGTAGGTTAAGTAAATGCAGAATTTGTGTTCCAAGTGTCTTTTTGCATGTTTGTAGCTTTACTATGGTGACATAGTAAATCACAAGGAACTGTGATGACTTTTTTAAATGTATCGATAATGTTAACGTTTTTTTTTTATTCCATGATATAATTTAAGTAATTCTAACACTTTCCTCCACAGCTGTAATAAAGTGAATGTTTGGATTTCTGCGATTTATGAATGTGGTGTGAGTGTGTAGGTTTGCTTGCTTTGTGAACGTTCGTCTTGTAAATGTTGTAACACATTGCTGTGACGTTAGGAATCCCGCTCTCCATCCAAATCGGAGCGGGGCAGTCCTGTCCAGCCCAAGACGGAGAGCAGGTCTGGCTCTCCCAGCCCTTCCCGAGCATCCAAACGTTCTGGATCCCGATCCCGCTCCAAGTCCAGGTCAGTTCAAACATTAGCTGAATGTCATGAAGCTATTTCTTTCTCAATAGATAAACAGAAATGAACTTGCTTTTGCGTTTCTCACTCTCTGTTTTTGGTGCTTTCCAGGTCTCACTCTCGTCGCCATTCAAATCGCCGCCATAGCCGCTCTCGGTCTCACTCCGACCGGAAGAAGTCCCGTTCTCGCTCCTACAGCCCTGAATACCGACGCAAACGGAGCCAGAGCACATCACCCGTGTCTAACCGCCGCAGACATACTGGCAGCAGGGTGAGTATCATGGGTTAGGGGTCAAAGTTCACAGGGACCAAAACTACTGCAGCTGCTGTTAAAAGTACAGTTCACTCAAAAATGAAATTGTCATTGTTTATTTACCATCATATCATTGCAAACCCATCTGATATTTATTTCTATTACATTTTATTTGAATACATGACAGTATACAGCAGTGGTTCCTAGCCAAGTGGCTAAATGTTGTTCTTAATTTCTGCAGTCTCAAAAAAAAACATTAATAGTTTCATTAATTTAATATTTGTAGATGCTTCCAGTTACTGTTAATAAACACAAAAGTTTGGGGGAAAAAAGCTTTGTCATACCTGCAGCAGAAATATCTTACAGACGTGCCTTTTTCAGCACTTTGCTCGTTGTCTTCTGTCTTTCCGTTTGTATTTCCACAGCGTGAAGGTAAGGTCATACAAATTTATAAATTAATTGCTTGTTTTAAAATCTTTCCGTTCTACATCTACTTGACATCTGCTTCAAACATTAAAATAATAAAGGTTTGTAACAACATGATGGTGAGTGAATAATAACAGAAATATAATTTTTGGGTGAACTATCCCTAGAAATCACTTTAATAGAGTTATGTGGTACCATATTTTTTAACTAAAAGATTTGACATCTACATTCTCAGAAAAAAAGGGTTCAAAACTGTCACTGGGGCGGTACCTTTTCAAAATGTACCATTTAGGGGTAAATACGGCACAAAGATGTACTTTTTTTGGGGGGGTACAGCCCGTTAACGTGCTTTGTATGTTTTTTTTTTTTTCTTTTTTTTTTCTGAGAGTGTAGACCAGTTTCTCTGATTTTAAAACCTACACTTAAAACGCAACACACTTTGCTTTAGATCAAGATCATGTTTTTTAAAGTGATGTTTTAATTGCAAGTCTTAAATGTGTGTTTCTGTTTTGTAGAAAATGCATGCAAACCTCCATCACAGCCTCACAGGGACGAGCATGACTGTCTTTAATAACCCCTTTCATTCCTTCTTATTACATCAACAGAGCTCATACAGCCATGACTCCAAAAAAGACTCGCACAATCCTGGTGATGCCAGGGTATGTGGACCTTTCTTAACCTTTTAAGAATAACCACTAGACCAAACAAGTCTCAATGTTGCCTTTTAAAGGGGTTAAGAGGTCCATGTGGTGACTTTTGCATTTTAAGAATCGCTTTGTCTTCCTGCAGTGACTGAAGCGCTTCAGACGGCTCATGCAATGGCCATATTCATACTGTGATGCCCTCAGAAATGTTTTGGTTGGACGGAAAGCTGTAATGGTTGTTTTTGCATTAAAATCTCTTTAACAGGGGTTATTAAATACTGTCACACAGTTACCCAGCGAAATTTCAGAGAATTAGGTGGTTATGTTGATTTTGCCACCCCACCAGAGAAAGCAATGAAGTATTTCCTGAAAAACGGTACATCCATATTTTGGAGGGGTGTGACAATGAACACTGAGGAGCCTAGACTGTTTATTACATACGAAAGGAATGTTGAGCTGCTTTCCATCACGTCCAGTAATTATGTAATGTCATTGCATTTAAATATTTTCTATGGTATGAAATTTGAAGGTTCACAACAGGAGATAAAGAAATAAATTACAATGTGTATGCTTTTTTTTCCCCTAAATAAGTTTGTTTCATCAAAGATGTGATTATGTAATGTTTATATATCAGCAATATTTGTGTAAAAATTGTAACAAATTGTTTCCGTGTAGTTCAATGGTGTTGAATGCAGAATTTTAGTCTCACAGTCAGTGTTTTATTTGGCGATTGTTCAGTTTTTGGTGTTCTGAATCTTTTGTCCTGTGTTCTAGTGCTGACACCTCTGTCCCTCTTTCAGGCCAATCCAGACCCAAACACGTGTGTGGGTGTGTTTGGTCTCAGTCTGTACACAACGGAGCGCGACCTGAGAGAGGTCTTCTCACGTTACGGCCCTTTAGCCGGTGTCAATGTCGTCTACGACCAGCGAACGGGACGCTCTCGCGGTTTTGCCTTCGTTTACTATGAGCACATCGATGATGCCAAAGAGGTACATCCCCAACTGGAAATGACCTGTCAACACAAGTTCACGGTCTAAGCGGTTTAGTGATTCCCTTAATGGCATCTTAAGGACAACTTCAGATCACTTTTGTAATCTAGTGAACACACTGACTTGTATAGGTAAAATCTGGAAATATCAGGCAATTTGTGATTTACAGGCCTGAATAGTCATGAAAATGACAGTTTATATTTAATTGGCTACATATTGCACTCATGTTGAGTAAAACTTGCTTGAATGCAGTAGTAAGGTCCATTTTGTGACAATGTTTATTTTGAAATGATTCTTTTCAATATGTTAGTTATTTTCACACATCGGTTTGAATGATCAGTTAGTTAATCATTCTACATTTTTCAGTAAAAAAGTCTGGTAACACTAAATTCTCATTTGTTAACATCAGTTAATACATCAGCTAATAAAAACTAACAATTTGGAGTGACACTCGGACAAGTAAATAATGACAGAATTTCCATTTTAACTGTCGCTTTAATCCTTAAACATTAAGACATTTTCATTAATGTTTTTCAGACCTTTGAGCATTCAAATGTTATGGCATGCTCTGTGAGTGTATATTCTGTCTAAAAAGACCATTTATTCTTCACTATAGGCAATGGAGCGGGCTAATGGCATGGAGCTGGATGGAAGGCGCATCAGGGTGGATTATTCCATCACCAAACGTCCACACACCCCCACACCAGGCATCTACATGGGTCGGCCCACACAGTGAGTAAAACCTCTTTCTTACAAATAAGCTGAACTAGTATGGGTGGTTTGTAATAACACTTCAAATGTGACACTTTTAGTAATGGAGGCGGGAGCAGCAGCAGCGGTGGCCGTAGACGAGACTCGTGTTATGATCGTGGCTATGACCGATACGACCGTTATGACGAGTATG